GCCCCTTTGATGTGCAAATTGACTACAGCAGAAATAAAGAAGTTCATTGACAAACCAAGGCAAGGACCACAGTGGCCCCATCATGCCCAGTCATTGGAGAGATGTGTGAAACAGATCCCAGGGGCAGCAAGCAGAGAAACTGGAGAGCAAGAAGGAGAAACGCGAGGGTTATATCAAGAGGCCAAAAAGCCAGTCTGGTGGCTGAAGTCGAAGAGCGAATCAAAACAAGACTGGATGAAACTCGCTGGAACATTTTTGTAACAGCGGATTCGAACTCTTGGTGTAAAAACACATACTTTTAGAACCCCTCACTGAATATTTTTTTTGCAAAAATTAACCTTCAGTCTGTTAAATGACACACTCTGGCTGTGGCATCTCTTCAATTATTTGAATTCCTTGCCAAACCTTCTGTCGATGCCACCAAAACTTTTTTCTATTGATGCTACCAAAATACACCCTTTTGTAGGCCAATCCCATCCCTCAGGTCAATCTGTACCCAACTGCCATTGAAGACGTTGCTACAGGTAGTCCTCGACTTACAACCATACATTTAGTGACCGTTCAAAGTTACAACAGGACTGAAAAACTGACTTCTCACCGTTTTTCACACTTATGATCATTGTAGCTTCCCCTTGGTCACCTGATCAGAAATCGGATGCTTGGCAATGGACTCATATTTATGACAGTTGCAATGTCCCAGAGTCACGAGATTCGCTTTTATGACCTTCTGACAAGCAAAGCCAGAGTCACTTAATGACCCCATCATTTACTGCAGTGATTCACTTAACAGCTGTGGCAAAAAAGGTCATAAAATTGGTGTGACTCTCTTGACAATAAGTCCCAGAATTGTGGTTGTAACTTGAGGACTACCTGTTTTGCAAATCATTCATTCATTTTTCAAAATTATGCATTTTGCTTATCAAGATAATATTCTGATCCATTTTCTCAGCCTGGCTAGTACAGAATTCATGCTTCCCGTGCTGAATTTGCCCTACGATATAACCCAATGCTGAATATTGATGAAAGAAGCAGTTCTTTTAATTATTTATCATTTTAGTATTTAATAATAAATTTAATATTAATTTAATATTAATGAGCCTTGGTGGCACAGTGGTTAGAGTGCAGTACTGCAGGCAAACTTCTGCTGATTGCCGGTTGCCTGCAATTTGGCAGTTCAAATCCCACCAGGCTCAAGGTTGGCTCCGCCCTTCCGTCCTTCCGAGGTGGGTAAAATGTGGCCCCAGATTGTTGGGGGCCCCATGCTGACTCTGTAAACTGATTAGAGAGGGCTGTAAACGTCGTGAAGCAGTATATAAGTCTTGAGTGCTATTGCTCAGTGCTATTGATGAAATAATTTCTAGAAAGAGTGCAGACAAGAGCCAAAAAGATGACTATGGGACTGGAGGGTAAAATGTATGATGAAGGTTTGCAGGAATTGGGTAGGACCAGGGGTAACAGGATAGCAGTGTTCCAGTATTTGAGGGGCTGCCCCAAAGAAGAGAGGGTCAACTTGCCCTGCAAAGCACCAGAAGGCAGGAGAAGAATCAATGGATGGGACTCCCTCAAGGAGAGGTGCAACTTTGCACTAATTTCCTGACAGTGAGGACAAGTAGCCAGGGGAAAGGCTTGCCTTCAGAAGTGCTGGCGCTCCATCGCTGGAGGGTTTTAAAAAGAGACTGGGCAGCCATGTGTCCATGACATTTTAAGGTCTCCTGCCTTGAGAAAGGGGTTGGACTAGAAGACCTCCAAGGTCCCTTCCAGCCCCAGGATTCAATGATTCTTTGAGAACCCACTTTCCCACAAATCCACCGGTTAGTCACTCACCTGCAGGTTGTGCTTTTGCAAAGGCAGCCCAGGCCAGCAGTAGAAGAGCCAATAACATCATTGTGGATGAGCCTCTAGAGAAAAATGTGAATATTCATACCGCCTTTTATGAAGAACAGATCTTTTTTAGGAATAAACAGGATTTAAATCTCAAAGTACTTGGCTACTCGGCTTTTACGGTAGATTTACAAGACTTCTTTGGATCATAATCCCTGTGAGTTTGGCTTATAAAAAATTGAATTCTTTTAGAAGGACAGTGGGAGCAGTCAATCAGTGGAACAGAAGTTGCCTTCGGAAGTTGTGGGAGCTTCATCGCTGGAGGCTTTCAAGAAGAGACTGGACTGCCCTCCGTCAGAAATGGTGTAGGGTCTCCTGCTTGGGCAGGGGGTTGGACTAGATGACCTACAAGCTCCCTTCCAACTCTGTTAATCTGTTAGATTGGGAGTCTCCAAACTAGGCAACTTGAAGACTTATGCGTGCTAACTTATGCGTGCTTCTGGGAGTTGAAGTCCACAAGTCTTAAAGTTGCCAAGTTTGGAGAGCTCTGTTTTAGATGGAGACTTTGGGAAAAGTTGCCACGAAAAGAAGCAACAGCAGAGGATTGTAAAAAGCAATTAAAAGATTTTTGGGGGACACAATTTAGGTAAGGCACTGATTTAAGACTGGTTCGGGAAGCAAGTAAAGCCCTGAAGTAAACCCAGACTGCTTGAGCAGGGGGCTGGACTAAAAGACCCCCAGGTTCCCTTCCAACCTTATGATTCTATGTGATTTATTAGAGGTTAATTTGATATGACATACTAGTGAACTCTAAAAAGAAAAGAAGAGTCGAAAGCAAGAGCTTCCTAAACAGTGTGACAGCAGATCCAGGGACACAGAGTCTCCTTCATTGGATGGGAAGCAGAGGCAAAAAGGGGTTGGTCTAGGTGACCTCAAGGGTCTTTCCATATCTGTAATTCTATGGCTCTTGCTTAATCTGATGACTGAAATCAGTTCAGTTCTGGAATTGTACAGTGCAGTGAGCAATATCACCAAACCTCACCATATGTTAAATCAGATTTTAAAAAATGTGACGATGGTTAATATTGTAATATTAAGAAGCTTATGAATGCTGGTCTTAAGCTGGTCTTTGGCTGTTGGGTTGAGCATGCTGTGAGAACGCAGCTTTTAATCCCCATTTAACAAATGTCTCCATTTTTCTACTACCATAAATAAAAAAGGCACATTTAAGTATTGCGCGTTGCAGAATCCATGCTTGTTCCTGGCTTTTCCATCTGCACCCCAATAATCAAACCCCATTCACCTTCCTGGCAAATTTCTGGCTCACCTGATCAATCTCCAGTGTTTCTTTGATGAATGCCTCGAGCACAAACCTGTTTGTCTTACCTGGATGAGGAAGATCACTTCGCCTGAAGAAACCAGGAAGCTCAAATCAGCCTGGTCTTCTCGCTCGGCTTTATTAAGCAGCTGGATTTCGAAATTCACCTCCCCATTAGAACAGGAAATGAAAAGCAGGAAGTCCTGAAATGAAAAGGGGCTGTTTACACCCACAAGATAAAAGAGTTTCAGGAACAGTTTTGGCCAATACAGAAGTCAAATAAATAGGATAATCTTGGTGCTGTATGAGCTTGGTGGTTTCCTAGCAGATGTTGTTTTGATTACAACAGAATAACGGAGTTGGAAGGGACCTTGCAGGTCATCTAGTCCAACCCAAACAGGAACCCTACACCATTTCTGACAGATGGCAGTCCAGTCTCTTCTTGAAAGCTTCCAGTGATGAAGCTCCCACAACTTCCGAAGGCAACATCTGTTCCATGGGTTGATTGTTCTCACTGTCAAGAAATTCCTCTTTATTTACATGTTGAATCTCTCCTTGTTCAGTTTCCATCC